TGCTTTGAGTTGCAATTTGTCAGTCTGTCTGCCTTTGTGTGTGTGTGTGTACACATTACTTCGCCCCCTTCTACTACCTTCTATTTTCATTAGTTGTACCAATATCATATCTATAGTTTATCTTATCAATAGTGGGGCTTGTCCCAGGTGTTATCTATTGGTCATTAACTATATTCATGAGGTGGAGTAACAGAACTATTTCTCATAATAGCCAGACCCACTGCTTTTAGAATGTAGAAACCTTATAAATATTACATGTACACAGCCAAGAATTATCATGGTGATACAGTAGTACTGCCCAAAGTCAATGAATCAGGTCTGATTACTTCAGGACTGTATCACTTCAGTAATCAGACCTGATTCATTGACTTTGGACAGTATTACTGCATCAGCATGATAATTCTTGGCTGTGTGTGCTTATTGTTCATTAACTATATTCATGAGATGTTAGTAACAACTATTTCTCATACTGCTTTAAATATTACATGTAACATGTAGTACATGTTAACTTGTATTCAATCACTAATTATTGAAATGTTATGATCATGAACACTTGATCTTCTCTTGCTTTCCTTTCTTCATCTTGTTCCAGGTTCCCACAGAGCCAGCCTCAGTCCTCAGGAGGTGCTGGAGGAGGAGGAGGAGCTACTCCTCAACCTGGTGGCTTCCATGGAGCGGCCGGTAATGATGAGGATGACCTCTACAGTTAGAGATATTAGTTGAACATTAGCCGAGAGAGAGAGAGAGATTTAAATTTAAAACTCAGTTATTATTCCAATTATTACTGTTTGACTATTATTACTAGTATTATTTTGATTATTATTATTATTTACTATTATTATTATTACTATTATTATTATTATTATGCAATAAGACACAAAGGGATAAACAATAACATAGAAAGAAAAAGGGAGTGGCCCTTAGAGAATTAGAAGAACTACAGAAAGCAGACAGGAAAATAAATGAGGAGTGGATGAAAGAAGAGGATAGAGGAGAGAAAAGAGAAACTATAAAAGAGTCAAACAAGCCCATCGACTTGCGGAGGAAGAGCAGCAAATTATTATTATTATTATTATTATTATTAAGTGTTGTACATTAGGATTGCAATTGTAAGTTTGGTTACATCTTATGTAAAAAAGGCTTGCTTAATTAACTGTGAGGGCATTTAGACCTTTGATGTATTGGTTTGTACACAAGAATGCTCTTAACTGGTGTCTTGCATAGATATAAACCAGGTTTAACTTTCATTCTCATGTATCCTCTGCTAAAATATTAATTTTATGAATTTTTGTAACTTTGTAATGGATCACCCTACTTCCAAAGTAGCTATCTGGTATATGTATTTGCACAAACCATGTAGCACAACCAACCTCAATAGTTTGTAGATATATCTTTCATTTATTAAAAAAGTTTAAACCAATTAAAAGTTCAAGGTAGTCTGCAGTAAAGACTTTGTCAAAAAGTCTGTACTGCAGAGTATCTAAATGGGGGGTGTGTTCCGCCATAACATACCGTGTAGCCATAAATAATTTACTCTAATGTCCATGGTATAGCTCCCAAGTTTTTGTCAGTCAAAAATTTCATCAAAATCTTAATTTCTTGTTGAAATTAATTTTTGTCATAATTATTATAAATCCGCATACTAACTACATGGAGCAAATTAGTCGTTTAAAGATTTTGTCAAGCAAAAATTCTTGACAAATTTGACAACAAAATTGGAGCTATACGGTACACTGTTGCTTGCAACTTGGTCAGATGTTTAATGTGGTTTAGCAAATTCTACATCGGCAACAAAGTTGCTCAGTGTATGTTTGGTTTTAAACAAACAGCCCACCAATTGCAAATATCTTGTACTAGTGGAGTTATATAAATAATTACTATGGGATAACCTCTGTTGTGGGATAGTCCCTGTTGTGCTGATGCGATTGCCGTAGCATCAGCTGATGATAATAGCTAACACTGAATTTGCATGCAATGTACAATGACTGTGCAGCTTAGTTAGTCATGATGCAATGCTATGTATATAACGAGAATGCCCTGCTGCTCAGTAGTGTTTAAATCAATTCTTAGCTGAGTTTTAAGCTACTCTTCTTAAACTTGTTAAAACTTAAAATAACACAGCTGAACACTTATAATTATGATAAC